AATCTATTCTATCCTATCCTAACCTATCCTGTCCTAACCTATCCTAACCTTTCCTATCCTAACCTATCCTATCCTATCCTATCCTAATCTATTCTATCCTAACCTATCCTATCCTAACCTTACCTAACTTAACCTATCCTAACCTATCCTAACCTATCCTATCCTATCCTAACCTTACCTAACTTAACCTATCCTAACCTATCCTATCCTAACCTTACCTAACTTAACCTATCCTAACCTAACCTATCCTATCCTAACCTATTCTATCCTAACCTATCCTAACGTAACCTAACCTATCCTATCCTTACCTATCCTATCCTATCCTAACCTATCCTTTCCTAACCTATCCTATCCTAACCTAACTTAACCTATCCTAACCTATCCTATCCTAACCTAACCTTACCTAACTTAACCTAACCTAATTAACTGGGGGCGAACTATGTGCATGGGGCGAAACGACTGCCGCTTGGGCCGATACAGGCTAATTAACTGGGGGCAAAACGACCTAATTAACTGGGGGCAAAACAAACTAATTAACTGGGGGCAAAAAAAAACGGGACGAAACGACCGGTTATCAGACTTTCCTAACCCACAGCAAGCTTTTATTTTCCATACAAAGGTCCTTAAAAACCCATTTTCCTCAAAAACTCACACGAAGACGGAGACGTAGGCCTATAACCTACCCCCAAACATAACTTCATCCTAACTAGAGCTTTCTAACCCCTAAAGAGCCTCAATTTACTGAATAAACATTGATTTTAATTAAATAATTACTATACGATTCACCCCCACACGAAAACGGAGACGTGGGCCTATAACCTAACCCCCTAACATAACAAAAGTCCGATAGATCCCTTCCTACTTACAAAACACCCTTAACTTACTTACAAAATAACCTTTTCCGTCAAAAACTCACCGTATGATTGACTCCCCCACAAGAAAACGGAGACATAGGCCTATAACGACCCCCTAACATAACCAACCCACACAGAGCACCTATTTTCCTCACAAAAGACCAATTTTAAACAACTTTCCACCCATTTCTTACCGTGTGGTTGACTCCTCACAAGAAGACCGAGACATAGGCCTATAACCTACCCCCCCTAACATAACAAAAGCCCAAGATACCCTTTCCTTTATATAAATCCCCCTCTACAACTCAAAAAAATAACCTTTTTCCTCAAAAAATCACCGGAAACAACTATAAACCCACAATAGATCCTTTTTAACTAAAATATACCATCTATTTACTCACAAATTAAACTTTTTCATTAAATCCTTACCACGAAGACAGAGACATAGGCCTATAACCTACCCCCAAACATACCTTAAACCTAACTACAGCTTTCTTAACCCCTAAAGAGCCTCAATTTACTGAATTAAAGACTCATTTTAATTAAACAATTACCGTATGATTGACCCCCACCCCCCCACACAAATAAGGAGAGACATAGGCCTATAACCTACCCCCTAACATAACTTAATTCTAACTACAGCTTTCTTAACCCCCAAAGAGCCTCAATTTACTGAATTAAAGACTCATTTTAATTAAACAATTACCGTATGATTGACCCCCACCCCCCCCACACAAATAAGGAGAGACATAGGCCTATAACCTACCCCCAAACATACCTTAAACCTAACTACAGCTTTCTTAACCCCTAAAGAGCCTCAATTTACTGAATAAAAAACTCATTTTAAATAAATAATTACCGTATGATTGACCCCCACCCCCCCCACATGAATACGGAGAGACATAGGCCTATAACCTACCCCTTCACATAACAAAACACCATAAAACCTTTTCCTACTCACAAAATATACTCTATAAGTTAATAAATAAAACTCATTTTAATTAAATAAATACCTTGATTCACCCCCCCACATGAAGATGGAGACGTAGGCCTATAACGACCCCCTTAATATAACGAACCTCCAACTCACTACAGATCCTTTTTCAACCCCCAAAGAGCCTTCATTTACTCACAAATTAAACCTTTTTTCATTAAATTATAAAATTATTATTGACTCCTGACACGAAGACGGAGACATAGACCTATAACGACCCCCCTAATACAACGAACCCCCTAATACAACGAACCCCCAACCACCTCTTATTTTCCCTCATAAACACGATTTTTAATCCATTTTCTATTAATTTCTTACCGTGTGGTTGACGCCCCACATGAAGACCGAAAGAAAAGGCTCGTTGGCCCGAAATAACTTGACTTTTTGGTGTTTGACGCGAACGGCTTTTTTCTTGAGCTTAGACGAGAGGCTCATGGAGGCGGCCATGGCGCTTATTTCACCCTTTTTTCGACCTATTTCAGGGGTTTTCAGGGAGAAATAAGGGATTTAGATGAGGGCCATGGTGAGGAGGATGGTTTCTAGACTCTCCTTGTGTCTCTCGAAGGAAAGGGAGGAAAATAGGAGCGGAATTTGTGGTAAATTTTCCGCCTCTTTTTCTCTCTTTCTTCTTTTTTTTTTGTTGTTGTTTTGG